TATTTTTATTTTGTTAGTAGTTAAATAAATAAAAAATAAGGTATTTAATATTTATTTCTAGGCCCCGACTAGGCACCGCCTAGGCCCTAGGCGCTGGTCGAGCGCCTAGCGGACGCCTAGCGACTTTTAGAACACTGAATAATAATAAAAAAAACCACCACCACAGAACCTTCAGTGGTCTACAACCCTTCACATGGTTGGGGAAGTCAAATTTGTGGTTTTTATTTACAAATATAACAGCAGACATTACAGTGATGGTCCACTTAGGACAAAAATAACAACTACCACCACATCTTGAAAAAGTGTTATTCAGGTATAATAAAGGTATAAAAATTCAATGAACAATAGAAGAAGAAAACGAGAAAGGAACAAAGAAATAGACAATGTGTAATTTCCCTTTTTTTATATGGAGTAATTATATGGAGTAATCGGATGACTCAACTTTTATTTATTCACAAATAATATAGTTACACTTGTCCTGCAAATACATTGGACATGCCACAAAGGAACCATCCAATGGCTCCATAAAATTTCTGGATTAGTGTCGGGCCTATGGAGAATAGGATATAATAATCCTACAGCAGATATCAATATATTGTACTAGCATATGATGAAGAAAAGAAGAAGAAGTAAAGGTTTTTCATTCTTGGGCTATGTTTGGTAAAACTAGCTGATAAGTTAGCTTATAGCTTATATGTAATTTTCGAACTTATAGCTTATAGCTTATGACTTATAGCTGAAAAGCTAACTTATATGATAAAAGTGTTTAGTAAAATTAGATGATAAGCTAGCTGGAATAAAAAATTCAACTAGCTTATTTGAAAAGCTACCTAAACAAGCTTATCAAATAAGCTCGAGCTTTTTAAATAAGCTCGTCCTACCAAACAGGGCTTATTTGAATACAAGAAGCTTATAAGCTAACCAAATAAGCTATAAGCTAGCTTATTTGGCCAAACATAGCCTTGATGTTATCCCCTTACCATCCACAAGATTATTTCAAACTTGAATAACTTCTGAGATTTCAATTTTGACAAAGCCGATCTCTCAGCTAAGTCGAAAATTAGCAGCAGCACAGCCACACAAGAAAGCAAAACGAAACAAACAACAGACAAAAGCTGTAATTTTTACAACGCAGAGAAGCAGATCAATCAATCGAAACATTATTTCTCTACATATACATTATATAGTAACAAAAACAACAGTCAGAGAACAAGAACCCCTACAAAAAACAAACCTAAGGAATCATCAATCAGCATACAAAGGGAAAATCCACTTCCTAACACAGAGTCATCATCACAAAAACCCCCAAATTCAAATCTAACAGGTGACCACCATTTACAAAGTCGAGTTCTTTTTTCTTTTTTTTTTTTTTT